AGTAACGAATACTCCTCGTCGCGTTTTTTTAAACCTCACCACTGAACTTGCGCAAAAGCAAACTTTGCCATACATGTTACCGCGAAGGGAGTTAAAGAAGGCCTCCTTATATGTAAGTCATGTAGAAGTATACTTTTTTGTAAATCATAGGCTCCGGTCAAGCGTTATCTAAAAACGGAACAGACAGAGAAATAATGAGTATATCAAAAAATAGGCATATATGGCCTGTTTTTTGCGTTCGCAAGCTTATAACGGATCGTGGAATTAGTCTCCTTAGGCAGAAAATAATCCGTTATAAAGAGAAAAGTATGTTCTCTTATCTTCAGTCAAACTTCATTGTTTATCTTCAGGTAAATTAAAGGAATCGTCAAAAGTCCCCAATTTCCTCGTGACTTTACCTTGGAAAACGTTAATATACACAGAAGTTTGTCAGATAAATATTCGATGAAAGCACATTCTAAAGAGGTAACCAATTATGGAAAGTTTTCTATTAAACAGGAATAACAATATGCGTGGTATCTAGCGGACATTTTGTATGCTCGACAATGTGGCTTGCTGTTTTGAAGCCTTCCTACATATGACCTAAAGGGCCATCGTCATAAGAAATAATATCCAAAAGCTCGTTTTTTCGGTAAATACTGTTTAGTTACAGTAGACGCCGTTGATCATGCAATATTTCGACATATGCGAAAGACTAATACTCTTTCGCTAATCTGAATGGACTTCAGTTGTGATACTGATTATCGCGTTGTGTATTCTGAAGTCATTTCAGTCAGGATAGGATGCCGGCTTTTTAACGGGCTTCGTTCCGACTCCTAGCAAAACGTATCTATTTTAAAAACTGACTACGTATGTAGTATGCCTTTTTATCATTGATTTTGACTGTCTTTATATGTTCAAATATATTTTATGGAAAACATAGATGAACAAATTATTTCTTGTACATGTTTGAAAGCAAATTACGCCTTCTTCAAATATTATACTTGAAAGAAGGGTAGCTTTCGGTTTTAAAAAAGCTGCGCAATTGCCATATAATTTTCTAACCTAGTGACTGTATATTCGAAGTCAAGGTTTAGAAACTGCGCACTGTGCACATCTTATTTAATGAAAAGTACGTTTTCACCTACAGTCTGAAGGAGAAGTCAGAGAGTTGTCATAAAATATTTAAATAGATGTGGAACATACTTTATGCAGTTAAGGTAACTTTTATAAACTGACAGATACGATGTTTTATGAATAAACGCCTCACAGATGTAGAAAAGCTCATCACTAGCAACATTTTAAACCCAAAAGCTACTCTTCCTTCAAGTATAAAATTTAAAGAAGGCGTAATTTGCTATCGCGTGTACAGGAAATAGTTTTTTCGTCCATGTTTTCCATAAAATATATTTGAATTTATAAAGGCAGTCACTCAATAATAAAAAGGCATATTACCTAATTAGTTGGTTTTTACAATAGATACGTTATTCTAGGAGTCGGAACGAAGCTCGTTAAAAAGCTGGCATCCTATCCTGACTGAAATGATTTCAGAATAGACAACGCGATAATCAGTATCACAACTGAAGTCAATTCAGATTAGCGAAAGAGTATTAGTCTTTCGCATATGTCGAAATATTGCATAATCAACGGCGTCTACTGTATATCGTACTGTAAAGGTTTTGATGTAAACGTCGAACAGAAGCGCACAATTTATTAACTTATCAATGGAGACACTGAAAACGAGCGAAATGATGAGAGACTTTATTTTACGATATTCAATAGATAGTTATCCACTAATGGTAATATGAACAAAATATTTTGACTGACGAAAAGTTATTTTTACATACGGAAAGTGGTTGCTCTCGGTTTTATACTTAACAAAATATTTAAATTTATTGTTCTTTTTTACAGCTGTTTTTTACGTCTCCAGAACCTGGGAATTATCGAGAAAATCTTATTTTTCTTAACAAGCACTTAGTAATTCTTATAGTTCTTTCAAGTACATAATATGCCTAATGATGCTCATTATTATTTCTAAGTTTTCGTAACTCCTTTCTTGCCGATGTTAGAGAAAGAATCAAACTTTTACAAAATAAGCATGTTGTTCGCAGCACTCGCCATACTGTATGTTTCCTTCCCAGAGAACACTGTTCGTTTTTGGTAGATATCAGAATATCCATTAACAGGTTTCAAATGAACGCCAACCGTGGCAAATTTTTACGAAAACCACCAGAAACCGTTTTCTAACTCAAAGCGCACTTTTCAACAATAATTGCAGCGAAACACACATTGTAATGCTGCTATCTGTGTCAGAAGCAATAGCTACCAAGGGGAGTTTTCCTTTGGCTTTTCCCAAGTCGCCCTTTTTATACAATCAATAATTTCGCATAGATCGGTGTCTCTATCAGCATTCCTGAGAACGCCTCCATTTTTCGAGCAAATTGCTTAATTTGGGTAGCGCAGAGTACCTGATATAAAATTCAAATTACTCACAAGTGTGCTAAATAGGATTTTATGGGAAAACTGCCAACACTGTCTGATATATGGGGAGGGCGGATCACGACCGCGCAGTCATTTCTCCACGTTCCTTATAAATGAATTTAATACAGTGTTCATTCCTTTCTGTCAATTTCGGGACTCGCAGGCTTTTAACAGTCCTCAGCTCCAACAATTCTATTTAATACGCAGGCTTTTAGTCCTTCCTATAGTAGCCTTCCAAGTGCCTTCATAATGC